AATCTCTGGGAGTAAGAGAGTCAAAAAAGTTTCAATCAAGGGGGCTGTCTGCAACCAATAGAACTTTAGGTCTATCTGCAAATAAGGCGATAGTATAGGGGGTCTATCGGCAGTTAGTCCTATTTTCTATCAGCATATACAGTTACACATTTTGTGCATGATTATGTTGTAGGCGGTTGAAGAAGGGCGAAAGCGGCTCAGTGTAAATCATCATTTTGTGTTCAGGTTTTTCAAACTGGTGCTCTTCTTGGGTGTGCTCTCCACAATAATAGCTCTTGCAATTGTGTACAAACTTTCTGTTAGAGATTTAATTATATGCTGTCTCGCATTTCTACCAACTGGTTGGGGGCTCTTATCAGTAAGTATTGGTTGATGGGAAAAGGGGTCAATTCACAAACCCATTAAAACTTTGGGTTGTTACCCACGAAACCCTGCTCAACTTTGTTTTCCCACTAAACCCCCAAAAATCCACGGTATCTCAAATTGCCCTCCAGAACTCATTATTTTTCCCACAAAAACCCCTAAAAATTGTCTTGCAGTTGGAGGACGTTATTACCTTCCAAGTTATGTTCTTTCCTTGTTTTCTATGCAGCTCATATTCTCCTTTTCTTTGTGATTTTTCGGGTAGTTTTGCAGGAAAATATAAAAATTTTGGGGAGTTATTTGAGAATATTTGAAGTTTTGGAGATTTGCGAGTTTTGGGGGTTAGTGGAAAAACAAAGTTCAGGGTGCATTGTGGGGAACGCCCCACAGTTTTGGGTGTTTAGTGATATTACCCAAAAAAGTTTCCATACTTTCACCTTTCTTTTGATGATATTATTATTTGAATTTGAATTTTTTATATGTTTTCCCACAGGTTGCACAAGTTTTCAGGCCAAAAATAGAAGAGTATGCGGTATGGGATTCAGTCCAAGCAATTGCTCAAGCATATGATTACGGAATGGGTTCTATGCTTTTTGCACCTATAGCAGCATTGGCTTGGATGCCTGTGATCTCGGCAATTCAAACGCGTGTTCTTTTTAACCAAGCGTTTAGCAAGAAACTGCAAATCCAACCTATTCTTCCTGGAAAAAGTAAGAAAAGGTGACTATGAGGACGCTGATTAACTCCTCATAATTGACTGTGTATCCACACTCGATAGTTCAACTTTTTCACTTAAGTTTTTTTTTTCCTTTTCACTTATGTAAATAATTTTTTTTAATAATCGTGGCTTGATCATAATTAAGATCATTAATAGAAATTTGAATTGCCTTATGGTCTATACATTTGTTTGTGAACAGCTGTATCGGGTGGCAGATACTTATACAACTAATGCAATGTTGTTAGATGTACTGTGTTTAACTAATTGCCTTGTCAATAAACCTTGTTAAGTTAAATATTGGGTATTGGGTTAATGGGCTGTTACCCGTTAACCTTAACCCTATTTGTATGGCTATATATATCTCTCTTGTTATTCTCAATAAACTATTAGGGTTTTCTCTATTCTCTACATGGTATCAGAGCATGAAACCCTAGCCGTCACAAATCTTCATTCAAAAACCCTAGTCGCCGCCCGTTACTACAGTACCGCCGTCGCTACAGTGCTGTGCTACAGTGCCCCCTACATCGTGTTGCCTATTCCCTCGACATCTCAGTCTTCGAACTGATGAGAGGACGATTGTATCCCTCAACATTTCAGTCATAGAACTGATGAGAGGAAGCCTCGACATTTCAGTCATAGAACTGATGAGAGGAAGAGTGTCTATCTCACGTTGTTGAGATATTTCACTTTTATTCTTGTTTCCTTCGAGAAACAAGAATATAGAAATTGAGCCTTTATGCAAACAAAAGCCAGAGCTCTCTCCCTTAGGTGATCTCGCCTATGCAGCGTGACGGCATGACTATCTACCACTCTGCCTCTAATCCTGCTCCTGATCTGCTCTTAGTTTATGTTTCGAAAACAGATCTCTACTACTAATCTGCCTATTTGACTACTATTTGTCTCCTATTGTTGCTCAAAAATAAAAATGACTACTACTTCGATGTCGGACATCTCCTCCTCTACTACTCCTTCTATTGTTGCTGGTGAGACCTCTGCGCCCAAGGTAGTCTTGGGGACTACTATTAAATTGAATGGTGCAAACTATCTGCTCTGGGCACAAGCTTTCCGCATCTTCATTGGCGCTCAGAGCAAACTACCACATCTTCTTGCATCTCCACCACCAACCTCAGATCCTACCTACAATTCATGGCTCTCATCTGATTATTGTGTTATGACTCGTCTTCTCAACAGTATGGAAGCACAGATTAGTAGCAGCGTTATGTTTTTAACCACTGTGAAGGAGATGTGGGACAGCCTAAAGATTATGTACGGGAACGAGAAGAATGTTTCTCGTGTATTTGAAATTTATGAACGACTGTTTGCGCTCAAACAAGGAGATAAGTCAGTTCCGGAATTCTTTGGTGAATTGAAGGGACTGATAGACGAACTAGATATGCATCAGCCTGCAGTAGCTGATGCAGCGACGCTATTAGGGTATCGTCGTGATCTGGCAGTATCCAAATTTCTTTCTGGGTTGAACCCTAATTTACAGTCCCAGGTAAGAGGACAGATATTGGGTGGAGATACAATTCCCTCACTGACTGCGACATTCTCCAGAGTCATGCAAGTCTTTACTGATGTTACTTCTGATACTACTACACCATCTCCACCTACGATGGATCAGTCTGCCATGTTCTCTAATCGAGGCAAAGGCCGCGGTCGTGGTTGTGGTCGTGGCCGTGATTCAGGGGGAGGACGTGGTTCCTTTGGTGGGAGGCAAGGTGAATCTGATAAGGGCTCACGATAGTGTGGTCATTGTGGGAGAACCAATCATATTTCTGAGAAGTGCTGGGAGAAGTTTGGTCGTCCTCACTGGGTTCAGGTAGCTGATACAGAGTCGACTAACTCATCTATTTCTGCTACTACTTCTGGTGGTCCAGCTGTTACTGCTCCTACTGTTCAGATTTCTCAGGCAGATTATGAGAGGTTGCTCCAGCTAGAACTCTCTCAGAATATTCATTCTGCTACTCATGCATCCTCTTCAGGTATGGATGCTTACATAGCTTCTACTCACAAACCCTGGGTACTAGATTCTGGAGCCTCATCTCATATGATAGGTATAAATGATCACTTTGTATCTTTACATCTTTCTGATAAGTTTCCTTCTATCCGCATTGCTGATGGTACTCTTTCTCCAGTTCGTGGTGATGGAGTAGTTCATGCTACTTCCTCTTTAAAACTAACTGATGTGTTATATGTTCCCAAATTCCCTGTTAGCCTATTATCCATTAGCAAGTTTACAAAACAAAATAATTGTAAAGTCATATTTTTTTCCATCTTATTGTGTTTTTCAGGACCTAGCAATTGTGGTGAAGATTGGTTCGGGGCATGAGAGAGGAGGTATGTACTATTTGGACGACAGTGTGCCAGAAGCTGTCCTTGTTGCATCACAGTCTGACTCCACTTTATTGTGGCACTGGCGTCTGGGTCATCCTTCACTACAAAAACTTAGATCGCTAGTTTCTGTTCAGCCATCTATTTCCTCTTTAGGTTGTGAGTCGTGTGAACTGGGTAAGCACCATTGTGCTACTTTTCAGAGTCGAGTCGATAAACGTAGTAGTTTTGCTTTTGAGTTGGTTTATTCCGATGTTTGGGGTCCTTATCGTGTTCCCTCTGTGCAAGGTTTTCGATATTTTATTATCTTTATTGATGATTTCTCTCGCATGACGTGGCTTTATCTGTTAAAAGAGAGGTCAGAGGTCTCGCACGTTATTGAACTCTTTTATAATGAAATAAAAACTCAGTTCTCTACTTCTGTTCGTATTCTTCGTACTGATAATGCTTTGGAATATATGAAAAGTGATGTTTCAAAATTTTGTGCTCTTAATGGCATTATTCATCAGACTTCTTGCTCTCACACTTCACAACAAAATGGAGTTGCTGAGAGGAAGCATAGGCATATTCTAGATGTTGCTAGAACACTGATGATACATATGAATATTCTAAAGTATTTGTGGTCTGATGCTGTTCTCACTACAAATTATTTGATTAATCGCATGCCTTCCTCTGTCCTTGATGGTTTAAGACCATTCAATTGTCTTTATCCTGATAAAAAACAATTCTCTGTGATTCCCCGTGTCTTTGGTTCTACGTGTTTTGTTCAGGATTTAACTGCTGGTTTGGATAAGTTGTCATCTAGATCCATCAAATGTGTTTTTGTTGGATACTCTCGTACTCAAAATGGATATAGGTGTTATCATCCGTCCACCAGGAAATATTTTGTGTCTGCTGATGTTACCTTTTTTGAGTATGTCCCATATTTTTCGTCTGGTTCCACTACTATTGGCTGTCCACAGGTACCACTACCTTCTTCTGCTCCTACTACTATTCCATTACCTGCTCCTGTTGCTCCTGCACCGAAGCCTTTACTGACATATATCTCTTTTTGTCTCTTATGACCGTCTCAACCCATCTTTTCGTCAGTTTGCCTTGTCCTTGTCCACTGTATCTATACCTAGGTCATATGAGGAAGCTATGTTAGTACCAGCTTGGAAGCAGGCCATGGATGAGGAAATGAATGCACTACTTTCTAGAGGGACTTGAGACTTGGTTTCTCTTCCTACTAGAGCGACTGTGGTTGGTTGCAGATGGGTGTATACCCTAAAATATCGCCCCAATGGGTCTGTTGACCGTTATAAAGCTCGCCAGGTTGCGAAAGGCTATACCCAGACATATGGCGTCGACTATTTTGAAACCTTTTCTCCCGTTACTCGTCTATCAGAATTCTTTTCTCTCTGGCTGTTAATATGGATTGGGCGATGCACCAACTAGATGTGAAGAATGCTTTCCTTTATGGTGATTTGGACGAGGAGGTTTATATGGAGCAACCTCCTGGGTATGTTGCTCAGGGGGAGAATATTATATGCAGACTAAGAAAGGCCATCTATGGGTTAAAGCAGAGTCCTCGAGCTTGGTTTGATAAGTTCAGCAAGGTTATTTCTAATGTTGGTTTTCAACGTTGTCAGTCTGATCACTCTGTCTTTCTTCGACGCACAACAACTGGTTTGGTTATTTTAGCCGTATATGTTGATGATATTTTGCTGACTGGGAGTGACTCTATTGCCTTAACTGAGACTAAGGAGTATCTAAACTATCATTTTATTACTAATGACATGGGAAAGCCAAAGTATTTTCTTAGGATTGAAGTTGCATATAAAAAACATGACCTGTTGTTGTCCCAAAGGAAGTATGTGCTAGATTTACTAGAAGAAGCAGGTCTCTTGGAATGCAAACCTGCAAGCACTCCAATGGAGGCAAATGTTGATTTGTGGCGTGATGATACCTCTCTCCTAGATGATGCTGGACGATATAGGAGACTAATTGGGAAACTAATATATTTGATAGTTACCAGATCTGATATTACTTTTGCAGTAGGTGTATTGAGCAAGTTTATGCACAAACCTAGAGAGGTTCATTGGACAACAGCTCTGAAGATTTTGGCATATGTCAAGAGTTGCCCTGGGAAAGGATTGTTATATAAGAAGCATGAGCATACTCACATTTCGGCTTTCTCTGATGCTGGCTACGCAGGAGACATGGGAGACCGGAAGTCAACCTCAGGATTTTGTACTTTTGTTGGAGGTAATCTTGTGACTTGGAGAAGCAAGAAACAAGATATAGTATCACGATCTAGTGCAGATGCCGAATATAGAGCAATGGCTCACACTGCTTGTGAGATGGTGTGGCTAAGAAAGTTTATGACAGAGCTTGGTTTTGTTCAGCCTGGACCCATGCCAATGCATTGTGACAACCAGTCTGCCATTTATATTGCACGGAATCCTGTGTTTCATGAGAGGACAAAACATATTGAAGTTGACTGTAATTTTGTCAGAGATGCTTGGGAAAAGAAGATAGTATCTCTCATATTCACTCTGTCCTCACAACAACTTGCTGATATTCTTACCAATGCTACTTCTTCAAAGGTGTTCTCTACTATATGTGATAAGCTGGGCATGATAGACATCTATGCTCTAGCTTGAGGGGGAGTGTTAAGTTAAATATTGGGTATTGGGTTAATGGGCTGTTACCCGTTAACCTTAACCCTATTTGTATGGCTATATATCTCTCTCTCTTGTTATTCTCAATAAACTATTAGGGTTTTCTCTATTCTCTACAAACCTAATGTTTTGTCTTGTATATGCAATGTTATTAGTATTGGATAGGGAATTCCTAATCTATTTTGGTAACATAAGGTCATTAGGATTCCTATTCTATTTTGGTAACATGAGGTTATTAGGATTCCTAAT